ATTCTTTTTTTTCTTGCTGTTCATTACGATTATAGATGATATTCATGATGATTTTTTTCCCCCAAAAAAAAAAAAAAAAAAGTTTCTTTAAACTTCTAACGAAAGAAAATCAATCAATCAATAACCAAACATTTATAGTGGATTTTGGAGGCAGAAAAACAAAGGAAAAAGCAAAAAACCTAATTAATTAAATTAAATGTAGCGAAAAACCAAACAACAACAACAACAACAACAAAATATTTTCCAAGAATAATAATTAGATTCAAAAAAAAATGGTCAGCCAACAACAACAACAACAAAAACAGCAAAAACAAAGTAATAAAAAAAGGTGTTCATTACATAACCATAACCATCACCAAACGTAAATATGGACAACATACATACATACATTACCTATACCAAGACAAATGTTTCATTCATTCATTCATTCAGTCAATCCTTGAATGATCATCATTCCTGAATGAATATGAAAAATTTTATGTTTGGGTTTTTTTTTGGGATTCTTGGGTTCTCGCAATGAATATTAACAGTTTTTTTCTTTTCGTCTCTCTCTCTCTCTCTCTTGGTTTTTTTTTCATTCTACGTTTTTCTTTTCGAAAAAATAACAAACAACCAGACCAGATGAAGAAATTTTGCAAAAATGAAATGAATCATCATCATCTTCATGGATGGATCGAAAAAAAATGTAATAATTTATTACTATTGATTCGCTACGATCACCAAAAATGTAATAGAAAAAGACAAAATGGAGAAGGGGAAAAAAACCGATTCTATTTCCACCCAATTCAATCATCATCATTATCATCAAATATTGGTATGGTGAAAATTGATAGCTTTGAAAAACTTTCCGAAAAAAAAACATCAACCAACCAACCAACCAACCAACCATGTGTACCATTGTAATCATAAATTTAATTATCAAAAAAATAAAAAGAGAGGGAATATTTCCCAAACAACAACAACAACAACATTATCCCTAAATAATAGTAAACATTATTTGCATAATTCCAAAACCATAATAAAATAATGTAATAAGTAATGTAATCTATACATATTTATTCGGAAAACTTTTTTTTTACCACAACATTACAAATTTTCATTAGAGTCTATTTCCACACACACACACACATCATCATCATCATTGAATGAATGAATGAATGGAGGATTTTAATGATGAAATTTTTTTTTTCAATTATCAATTATCATTATCCATAAGCTTTTTTTAAATGATTTTTTTTTTTTTTTTTTTTGAAAATAAACCCTTCGAACAACAAAACAACTACCAAAGAAGAAACAGTTGGATCATGTTACCACACACACACACAGAATTGTGTTTCGGTAATGTTTGGTTTGGTTTGGTTTCCCACAGAATTCCCATTATACCGCAGCCATTATACCCAAAAAAAGTACCTGTCAAATCTATTTATGGGAAAAAATGGCAAAATGATGATGATGTGATGGTGGTAGTTAATATTCAAAAACATACATCATCTTTATTATCAAAATTCTTTATAATAAAATCATCATGTAGACGTCTGTTTTGGGTTCCTATGAGAAATGTAAAAAAAAGGGTTTTTGCACACATGACCGAAAGAATCATCAGAAAATCCTTGAGAAATATTCCTTTTTTCACTTCATTATCCATTATTTTTGCATCTTTTTTTTTGTTTTGTTTTTCATAAAGAGAAAAAAAAATTTGTAAAACAAAAATACCACACACACACACATACATACATACCTATGCTATACCATCAACTATATCACAATGTTTGTGTGTGTGTGATCCATCATTGTTTCATTGAAAGAAAAAAAATTGCAATAAAATAAAACAAAATAAAACATCATATCTGCCATACGCAGAGAGACATTGTTTCATTTTTTTTTCGAGAATTTTTCATATCTGGACTTGAAATTTCTAGGGCCATTTTTTTTCTTTTTCTTCGTTTAATCAACATTTTCCAAAAAAAAAACAAAACTGGAAAAACTAAAAGATTCCCATAATAAACAAAACTAAAAAAAAGGATGCAATGAGATGAAATGATGAAGAAAACCGGCGCAAAAGAATTCTCTTTCGCAGAAGAATTTTTTTTTTTTTTTTTTGGTAACCTTGCCCAAATAGACATAGGATTTTGTTTTTTGTTTTTTCTCGATACTGAAAAATTCCATTCACAAATATGTGGCTCCCTGTTTTTTTTTTTTGGTTTCTTTGGGCCAAAAAATTCTGCTGCTATATCTGCTACTGCGTCTGCTTCTTTCTTTCTAATAGCTGTGGCTGCTGCTGTTGTTCATTTTATTTCATTTCATTTCATTTTTGGTTTCCCCATTGAATACACACACACTCTATTTTACGCGAATGAAAAATTCGTTGATTCTGATCATTTTTTTTTATTCTGTTTGGGTACGGTGTTGTATAGAAATAACCCTGATGATGTTCAGTGGTCGGTGATGTTGGTTGTGTTTGGTTTCATTTGATGGAAACATCGTCTGCAGATGTGACGCATCCAAGCAAAAAAAATTTTCTTCAGGTTTATTTACGTGTGTGTGTGTGCAGTGTGTGAATAATAATAATCATTTTTTTTCGATGGAATTCTTCAACAGAATCGGGCATAGAAAAAATGAATACAATTTTCCGGTTTTGAAGACAAGAATTTGGTCAAGAATTTGGCTATTTTCTTGGAATTCAGTAAATCAAATCAGCAAATCATTACACACATACACACACACACAAAGCAACTAAATGAATGAAAAACCCAGAATATTCTTTATTATTATTTATTATTCGTTTTCACAGTGTGTATCTCACTGTTTCGGTGTTAAATAATGATCATTATCATTAATAATGATGATGATGATAATGACAACAACATCGACAACAACGACGACGACGATGACGATGACGACGATGATGATGATGACAACTTAATACCATCATGATCATATAACCATAATGTAATATTCATATCACAAAAGGCACAGAATCATATCATCAAGCAAAATGATCATATCATATCATCATTATCATCAAACATCAAACATCAAACATCAAACATCATAATTCATAATTGAAGAATATTGTAATGAAAATCATCAAACAATCATCGATGCGATAAAAGTGCCATTTAATTTTTTCTAATTTTGCTTGTTGTTGTTATTGTTCTTTGCGTTTTGCGTTTTGCGTTTTAATTGTTGTTGTTCATTGCGTTTTTATCATTCTAAAATCATTCAATTTAATTCATTTGCAATGAATTTTGCATAATTGTCGTAATCGGTTGATCAAAAATTAAAAATTCAAAAAGGTTTGTTTGTTGGCTTTGTGGGGTTATATGAAAAGGACAAACAGATAAAAATAACCTTTCCGCATCATTCATAATCATAATCATCATCATTGAGTGTTATTCAAGGTAAATAAAATCATAATGTTTTTCCTTCATTCATTCGTAGATTATTTTAAGAAACTAAAAAAAATAAAAAATTATTTTTAGGTTTTTTCGCTTTTCTAACGTCTCTCTCACTCTGTGTGTGTGTTTTTTAGAATCGACACAGGATTCATTACGCATTCTTATTCTTCTTTGATTTTCTTTTTTCGGATTCAGTTTCTTTCTTTCTTTCTCACAAATTCTCACTTTTTCACCATAAGCATCATTATTTTGCTGTTGTTGTTGTTGTTGCTTGCTTGTTGTGGATTCAAATTTCTTTCATTTCAAACACTAAATTGTTGTTTGATGATGATGATGATGATGATAAAAATTTATTCAAGTGCAAATTGTGTGTGCGTGTGTGTGTAAATGGAATTTCATTGTAGCAAAAAAAAAAAAAGTTTTTCGAAAACTTTTTTCCTGTACACTTTTCTGTTCAGTTTTTCCAAGAGTCCTATATTCAAATTTGAAACACAAGTAAACTTTCTGAAACAAAGTCAATGAAAAATCCTTTCTTTTTTTTCTTTTCTTTTTGATTATCTTAAGTTTTTGATCATCAAATTGACAAGAGAAATATATCCAGGCCAAGCCAAAAAAAATTTGAAACTTTGAAAAATGAAAACCAGAATCAAAATTCTGTTGAAAGGTAGATAAAAGGGAAATATTCCCGGAAACATGATGATCATAATATCGATGATTGTTGGAAATTTTTAATTAAATTTTTTCATTCAGTATCTCAATAGAATTTATTTATTTATTTTCCCCCGTTAAGAATATCATGTTTTTTTTTGTTTTGTCCAGCTGCTGTCCACACACACTTACACACACACATAAAAACATTCATTTTGGTCGGTTATTTTATATTACCGTTTTCGGTTATCGTCGGTTATTGTTGTTCCAAATTGATCATTATGTTCTCTCTCTCTCTCTCCGCATATATATGTTTTTCACCCATTCATCTCAAACTTTTTGTTGTTGTTGTTGTTATTGTCCAAATTAGATTTGAAAATTGTTTTTTTTTGTTCTGTCATTATTATTATTTGGTGGGGTTGGTGGGGGT